GTGTAAAGAAATGAAAATGACATCCTGGGATCTGATTATTTGGAATACCATTAAAGTCTTCATTATCTTTAAGATAACTTCAATAAATACAGTATTTCTATCAGGGAAACCTTCTTCCAACATGAGAACCATTGTTGCAGTCAAACCTCTAGTGTTAGTTTCAGTCAGCTGTCGATGGTCAGATCAGTTCCTCTGAAGCTGAGGAGTTTTTGTACGACGCTTGTTTCACTGTGTGTTCGAACGGAAAACTCTCATCCGCTGACCTATTAGTAACTCCTGCCATCTCTCATCTGAACCTGCCACTTGATGGTCGAGTGAAGTCAGTTGCTCACCAGATTTACTTCCACTAAAACAATCTTCCTGGGTGGGGAACCTCAGGTAACGGTTTTGATCTACATATATGAGGAGTGTTAGGAGCTTTTCTCCAGGTTTCTGAAGGTACCCACTGCATGTTCATAACTAAACACTTGGAACTGGCTTTACATCTGATAGAGACCAGTCTTTCTGGAACACAGACTGAGATCCAGAGGAGACTGAGTCAGGATGATACTCATTCCTGATGAACCTGGAAAACATGAAGAAGAGGAGAAGGTTATTGCAGCGACAAACAGCTTGCGAGAATAGATGTCAATCTCCAAACAGATGAGGATTGATTTCTTTAACATGGAGAAACAGATGGAAGAAGGTCAATGCTGGTTTTTCAGTGTTTCTCCATCACAGCAAACACTCCATTGTGCGTGAACCTGTTGCATCCTGAGAAGTTTTCACAGAGAGTCTCACCCTGAAACAAGGGCACCCCAGGGTGGCCAGCATAGAGTCAGAGACATCATCATTTTTGCTGCCGTGCTCAGTGGGGCTCTGAAAGGGCTGGACCACACTGATCAGAACTACTGGCTCTTAACGGCTGGGAGCAGAGAGCAGACACATATGCAAACCACACAGGACAGTGAAATGGAGCTGTCCTCAACACATCATGCGTTCCCATCAGAACTGAGGAGAGTGGACTATTTACATGAATATGAAGGCACTGGGCCTGAAGGCGAAGGATTAAAAGATGTGATTGGCCCCAGTCCAGTCTCAATTAAGACAAAACTAATGGGTCGGCCCACAAGCAAAGCGCCCGGTCTGCCAGAAGACCAGTCCAGCCCTGATTTTCAGCATCTTACCAAGTTTGTTTTCTGTTCTTTCAGACATTAGGGAACGTGCAATGAGTTACGTGAAAGGCCCCAGATGCACCAAATGTTTCTTATTAAAAGCAGCTGTTTCTTGTTTTCCATTAAAATTGAATCAAATCAAATGTAATAGAAAATCATATCCTGCACTTTTGTATAACCCGGTGTGAACTTTGTGTGACCTGGCTTTGTGTATCCATGAACGTGAATCTGTTCCCACATGTATGCTCTTATCTGGAACTGTCCGGTACAAACTAGGGAGCAGTTTATCCTCGAACATACACCTGCTTCTTCTTGGCAGTTAGACCACACACCCCGACCCTGCCTCCTTCTTTCTTTTTTTCTACAAAGTTCACGTACACTCTTGGTTTGATATCAGTCTGCAGTTGCACTCTGTGGGACTGTACACTGATCCTTTGCAAAGCTCTTATTAAAATATACAAAGACAACTTGATCATTTCATCAACTGTTCATTTTCAGATTTCCATCACACAACGACTCTGATAGTGGAATGACAACTGTGAAAAAACCAAGAAGGAATTGATAGAAAGGCAGGAAAACATTATAATACATTTATTTTACATATGGAATATACCTGAGTCTTAAGGAGGTTATCTGACTTTATTGAAATTGGATTCTGAAAAAAGATTCATTGCACGTTTAAGAAAAGAGGGAGAATCCAGAAATCTTGTTTTATCTTCTGATCTTATAAAAAACTTAAGGAAGGGAATTGAAGAGTTTCTGGTGTATAGTAGGAAGTCATCATCGTACAGGCTGATGTTATGATGATGTGAAATGATTGATACCTGGGATGTTGATAAATTTCCTAAATCATAAAAGCAGGGTATCATGAGATTGTGTGTGTGTGTGTGTGTGTGTGTGTGTTGTGTGTGTGTGTTGTGTGTGTTGTGTGTGTGTCCTCAGTGAACTGTATCAGCCTCTGCAGTAGCTTCCAGCTGCAGCAGTCAGTTCAGTTTCTGTTCAGTCTGACTGAGGGAGGTTTTTGTACGACGCTTTTTTACTGTGAGACAAGACTGTTGATATAGTGGAGACTCTGACAGTAGTAAAACTGCTGCATCTTCAGTCTGGACTCCACTGATGGTCAGAGTGAAGTCAGAGTTTGATCCCACTGCCTGTAAACGACCTGGAATCCCTGATGCTCGAGTGGAAGCATCAGTAAATAAGGAGTTTAGGTTTTTCTCCATCTCTCTGTTGGTACCAGTTTAAATAGTTTTGAGACATAAACACTCTGACTGGTCCTACAGCTGATGGTGACGGAGCCTCCAGAGCAGATGCTCACTGCTCCAGGAAGTCACTGTGACCTGTCCTCTGGACTTGAGGACACAGAGACAGAAACATAAAAGCAGCGTCATGGTTTTGTCGGCTTCATTTCAGAGGGACGGATGTTGATAGAGGAGAGGAGTTTGATTCTCTGGACTTTACCTGTGAAGCAGCAGCAGAGGAGAGTCCAGATGAGGACGGAGACCAAAGTCATGTTTCTGATGAGGAGGATTTCTGTGTCTTCTGTTGTCATGAAGGACAGCTGTCAGTCATCCAGTCTTCAACTCTCAGGACTATAAACTCTCCCAGAGCACTGGAGCATGGTGCTGCTGATGCAAAGTGGCTCTCTATGGAAATGCTCTGACTGACTCCAGCAGGGACTTGGATCACTCTGATCATGCTGTTTATCAATGGATCAATCAGTTGATCAGAGTATGATCAGGATGTGGTGATACTTAATTTTATGTATTTTTTTTTCAGTTTGAAAAGTTTTCCTTGATAATATTTTTTGTAAATTCTCTCTAATTCACATCAGTGTTTGACATAATCTACGATAAATGTGTCTATGATAATCATTTACATTTCACAGTACTCACTGAGAAATTAATTTTGTGTGTAGATGTTTAATATTTCACAAAGAAAAGCTTAAATATTTAAAATAAAGAATTAATTAACACAATCTTCCAGTACATTTTAGAAATTTTAACCAGTTATCACATGAAGTGGTTGAACTGAGGAAGTGAAAGCAGAGAGGCAGGACACATATGCAAACACACAGAGTCAGTGAACTGCAGCTGTCCTCAACACATCATGATGTTTCCCATTAGTACTGAGAGAGGTGACTATTTAAATGATACCAGAGTCGAAATTTGAACCTCCTTCTCAGGTCAACCAAACCAAATGATCTATCCAAGGTGAATTTAATTTTCCGTTTCATGTCTATGTTCTAATATATACAGTAACTGATCTGAAAAGGAACATAGTTTTGTTGGTTCATGGTTTTGCAAATTTCAGCTCAATTCAAAACTGCGCATGAAGAGCGGGAGCTATGCATTCAATGGTTGTTTCACATATTACTTCCTGTTTTCAGGCTCATGGTACAACTCTCAAACTACTACTGTCTTAGTAAAAACAAACACTTGAAACAAGAAACATTTTCATCATTGACAAATATTGAAGAATATACTTGTCTGTTGTATTATCCAACTGAGAAAAACTCCATTCAGTCAGTCTGTATCCTCTGTTAAAGCTGAACAAGAGTTTAAATGTATCACAGCACATTTAAAACAACTGGACTCATTGTATTTATCTGGAGCTCATTTCAACACATTGTTAATTAGCGGTCACTCTGTCACCACTGAAAAACAACTGCTCCTTGCTGTCCTCAGTCTATGTTGTGTACTTGCAGTGATATCTACTGTTGCCTTTCAATCCCTTACTGCTGCCAGTCTGTCATCATGTACCTGCATGCATGTTTTTTATCATGACAGAGTGATTTAATTATACTTCTGTATGTGCTCTTTATTTCTGTTTCTGCTTTGAATGTTTATAGTAGTGTCTGATAACATAGAACAATGTTGTCTAATTTAGTTCATATTTCTGCTAATATTCATGTTCACCATTTCATAGCTTTACATTCCTTATATTTTGTGCCTCTGCGCTACATTTTGATTAATTAATTTTACTGACACTGTAGTGTAGTGGTGTCCTTTTTACTAAAATTGATGTTCTCTTCACTTTTCATTATTTCTCTACATGCTCACGGTATTTATAGTTTCAGTGAGGTCATTTTAATCTTTCCTCTTTCATAAAGACCTTCTCACATCTGTCCAGGGACTACAGGTGAAAAAAGCCATCATGGTGCAGTAAGATTAATGTTTGTTAATGTGCAATGAACCAATGAATAAAATAAAATGTCTTTAAGTCAATAAAACAGTCTTAGGGTGCGGTGACTGGCAAGGGTGTAGGTTTGGTGTCAGTATTGGTAGGGACAAAACAACCACACCACCCCTCCAAAATAAAGAGGACTTTTTACTGCTGTCAGCCAAATGATTCTGAAGACATGAGAACATAAAACTAGCTCCTAGCTGGTTAAGCTTAGCTGTGCTAAACTTGGACCTTGACCAGCTACAACAGTAAAATGCTGCTAATCCAGTGATGCATCAGAAAGTCAAGTTATTTATTTGTGGGCATGAATTCACTCAGTGTCCTTTGTGTCTAAAATATTGGGCTGGATTTGAGACGTTTCACACCAGTCATTGGATGCTTTGAACTGTCTGAAAAAAACAACCCTAGTGTGTGTAACAAGCCTCAAAATGCTCACATCACAGAATTCCCATTAGCCTTTTGAGCTGCTTTGTAGAATTCAATTTGACTTTTTTACCTGACATTTTTACCATTCATATCCCCTTATAGCTTAGACAAGTTGAATAGTCACCTCTCTCAGTACTGATGGGAAACAGCATGATGTGTTGAGGACAGCTCCAGCTCACTGACTCTGTGTGTTTGCATATGTGTCCTGCCTCTCTGCTCCCAGCCTTTAAGAGGCCAGTGTTGATCAGTGGCTGTCCAGGCCTTTCAGAGCCACTGACACGCCGGCAGCACAATGATGATGTCTCTGACTCTACTGCTGGCCACCCTGGGGCTCCTTGTTCAGGGTGAGACTCTCTTGTGAAAACTTTGCTTCAGGATGCAACCAGGTTCACCACAATGATGTTCTGCTGTGATGGAGAAACACTGAAACAAACAGCATTGACCTTCTTCCATCTGTTCTCCATGTTAAAGAAATCATCCTCTTCTGTTTGGATGTTGATCATCTTTCTCCAAGCTGGATTTGTCTCAATAACCCTTCTCCTCTTCTTCATGTTTTCCAGGTTCATCAGGAGAAAACATTGTGACTCAGTATCCTGGAGCTGTGTCTGCTGTTCTAGGACAGACTGCCTATATCTATTGCAGAGTCAGAACATTTTACTCCTGTAAGATAAACTGGTACGTTCAGAAGCCTGGAGACACTCTAAAACTCCTGATTAAACATACTTACACCCGTCATTCTGGAGTTTCAAATCGTTTCAGTGGCAGTGAGTTTTCAGGTGAACACGCTCTGATCATCGGTAGAGTCCAGGCTGAAGATGCAGGAGTTTATCACTGTAAGTGTGAACACACTTACTACAGTGACCGTGTGTTCACACAGTGAAAAAGCGTCGTACAAAAACCTCCCTCAGTCAGACTGAACAGAAACTGAACTGACTGCTGCAGCTGGAAGCTACTGCAGAGACTGATACACTTCACTGAGGACACACACACACACACACACACACTCTAACCATTCTATGAACGTCTAACCTTAACACAGACAACCTCAATAATTTCAGACACATATCTAATTTACCCTTTCTTGCCAACATACTGGAAAAAAAATATTATTTTCAGATCTTATGAGTGACCACTGACTTTTTGCAAAGTTTCAGTCTGGTTTTCAAACTCATCACAGCACAGAAACTGCACTTCTAAAAGTCTTAAACAACATTAGGATGAAATCAATTAGTGGTTGCTTCTCAATGATAAACATATGAACAAAATGTATCAGCTATATCCACAAATGAAGTCAGATTGCATGTGAGCCAGCCTTTGCTGCAGTAAGCCTGTTACACCATGTAACCTGGTAGGAAGGAAAAAGTTTTTTTTTTAATGGTTGGAAAGCCCCTGGAAATAATGGTGTCAGCAGAGGATGCACTGGCAAGGCCCAGGTTGGGGAAAGTTAGGGGATTTTTGGAAACCTGACACCATTAACATATCCTGGTAGCCCAGTTTGGGGAAATCCAGGGAAGACTAGATAAGTATTTTTTAGAAAAATAGGTGGAGAATCCACCTGAGAAGGAGGAATGATTTTACTATATAAGATGGTGCACAGTTCAGCGCCTGGGTACTTGCTTGGGTTTTTCCTGTGCAAAGGAATAAACTCTATTGCATTTAACTGTGACCATCTCCAGTGAATTCTTTGAACTTTTTGGGACTCCAGAATCTGTGCACAAGAGTTGTTAGTTACGTGTTGGTGAAGAGGTCCACATGTAAACTCTGGTACAGACCTGGACTTCTGACCTCCAACAGTAGGTGTAACTGGGACTGCTAGACTACTTTTAGTCTTACCTGAGGCAAAGAACATTCTCTTTAATTCCAGGCAATGTCTTCTCTACCTGTCCAGTTATCAACTGTGGCGTTCCCCAAGGTTCTATTCTAGGTCCTTTACCCTTCTCCATATACATGTTACTGCTGGGTGAAGTTGTCCACAAATCAAATTTCCATTTTCATGAAGATGACAGTCAAATTTATTTCTCTACCAATCCATCAGACTTTAACTCAGTCTCCACACTGACTACCTTTTCCCATTAATTTTACTAAAATTTAAAATTTTCACAATAAATTTGTTTGTTTTCTACATGACAGCAAAGTTATGTACTTCTTCGTGATTTAGGGCAGTTCAATGTGTCTACTATGGTGATATACTATTTTGGATTTGGGGTTAGGGTTAGGGTTTTTACTGTTATTTTTCCAAACATAATAGAATAATATCCATTCTGGTATTTATGGCAATTGTCATTCCTCACATCAGCTACCAAATTATTACAAACAGACTACTTCTGGTGAATTAGTTTTTTTTCAAAGTCAGAGAGCCGTGTCTCTCTACAGTGAGAGGTTTTTGTACGACGGCTCAATGACTTTGTCTCACTGTGCTACACGTTTGGTGGAGGAACCAGACTGGAATTTGGAAGTAAGTTAATATTATTCTGATTTTAGTTATTTTTAGAGAACCGTGTTTTTCTACTGTGAGAGGTTTTTGTATGACGTCTTAATGGGTTTTTGTTGTTGACTGTTTGGTGGAGGAACTAGACTGGTATTGTAATGTAACATAAAGTTTTAAATTCAGTTTCTGAATGGTTGTAGTGGATAAAATGATGTTGTTTTATTTATAAGACTTTTAATATTGATGTTTTTATTTCTCCTCCTTCATCATGGAGGTGAACTCAGAGCAGCTTTACTAAACTTTTCTTTGCACATTCCTGTCATGCTGAAATTCAAGTTCAACTGGAGAAAAGATAAAACTTCAGTTAGATTTTAAATGTCTTTAATGACTTAAGATTCACCTCCCACAATAACAATTTACTCATGAGATACCTTTATGTATCACTTTCTTGTGTAATTATTTCCATCGTACTTTGAAATCCTTTAAGAGGTTGTTAAAGGATGATTTAATTCCACATAAAGAATATTTTATGGTTGTCAGATTATCTTATGTATTATTTCATGTTTCTTCTGAAAGCTAAAGTCATGTAAACTCAAGACTTTTTAGGAAAATGTTGAAAAAATTGAAAAATCAGCGTCTTGTGTTTCCAGTGTAGTTTGATATATTTCAGGTCAAACTGTTTGATGGTTTTCTCTGTGCTGATGTGCATGAGAGGCTTCTTAAAGGGAAGTGAAACAATGTGAGTGAGTGACTGGTGGAGCAGAAAAACCATCTGACAGAAACTCCTTAAAGGAGGAAATCAAGTGTCACACAGTAAATGTGTCCAAGTGTCTGATGTTTGATTGATAGCTGTGTGGTCCCTGTCATCTAAGATGATTGGTGTCTCCTAGGTGACGCCCGTCCCACCCTGACAGTGCTGCCCCCCTCCAGTGAGGAGCTGAAGCAGGGGAAGGTCACAGTCCTGTGCCTGGCCAACAAGGGCTTCCCCTCAGACTGGAGTCTGGCCTGGAAGGTGGACGGCAGCAGGAGCAGCAGCTGCAGCTGGGAGGAGAGCAGGAGCCCCGGGGTGCTGGAGGAGGACGGCCTCTACAGCTGGAGCAGCACCCTGAGGCTCCCTGCAGACCAGTGGAGCAAGCTGGGCTCTGTGACCTGTGAGGCCACCCAGGGCTCCAAGACTCCAGTCTCAGAGACACTGAGGAGAGACCAGTGTTCCCAGTCCTGAGCTGACTCACTCAGTTACTGCTACTGGTTTTACTCTCTTCTCTGTCACACTGTCTCTCTCTCTTTCTCATGTTCTGTCTTTCTCTCTGATATGTTTGCTAGTTTTCTCTAATGTTTGTCATTTCACAATTTCCAGAAAATAAATATCTGTTCATCAAATAAATTCTGTTTCCATCTGTAGTTTTTAAAACATAAACAGATGATCATGATACTTTCTCAGTGACAAGAAACACAACCTGATTGATCCCTGAAATATAAAGTCAGGTATCATCAGCATAGAGAGATATCCAGTAACTCTGCACTCACTCTGCAACTCTCTCTCTATCCCTGCTGTTTGATTCTAGCAAAACTGATGTGTTCAATATTTCATGACAATAAAGACACTTTGATCACAAGAGTTATTTTCGGTGTGTTTTATTATTAAAGCAATACATGTCTACTGTCTTGCTACTGATGTCTTAACAGGAAAGGCTAAACCATGAAACCCACAGGGACTCTTGTCCTTTCTGGTTGCTTGGTGATGATCAGAGAAAGAAATGATTGTATCAATTGATTCAATCAAACTCTCTCAATTCAAGCAGACAGTGTCTCAGTGTAGCAGTCACATCCTGAACATAGACTGCATTTCTATATATGGATGGCAATATTTTAGACATGTATTATATGAATATATATCCATCCCAAGCCCTGTCAATATATGATGATATTATATATAGTGGGTTCCAGGAATCTAAGAGCACTTTGAGAAAATGGAAAGATAGACATGTTTAAAATGAATGAGAAATAAATTAGAAAACCATAGATAAGCATATATAACTTTTATGTGGTTGCTCTAATAGACTTGCATTAGTAATTAAATATATATTCCTAATATATAAACATATAAACATTCATCACATAATTTAAAGATGTGTACAAATATAGTTTTCACATACGTTATACGCTTATCTCTTCATATTTCCAGAGGATGTATATATGTGATTATAATATATTCTCTTATAGGTGACATAAATGGCAAAGTCACTCTTGATATAGGGACCTATATGTCCTATTATATCTCTGTATGGGGTCCTTCATGTGTGACCTCTGACCTTCTCTGTGCTGATGTTAG